CCTAATCTGATCCCCTGTTTCAGTCATCATATCCGAGTGTATCTTCTTGGTAAGTGGCGGTTATAACATCACATCGGATACTGTGGATGAATTTCATCAACAGGAAGTCAAAGTTCTACAGAAGCCTCAGGTCTGGTGTACTGGAGCTGAAACCTCCCCACGGATTGGGTATGAACACAACTGAACTAAGATAAACGCCAAGCTTCTTAATGCTCGTAGACACCTGGTTTGATCATTTTATTCAAACGTGTGTTCAAGTCAACCCCCATTAAATAAACCCTGCTATGAAGCTTGTAGTCGGTAATATAAGAGGATGTTATTAATTAACAAACTCAAAACATCGGCTTCTACAACAGTACCCATATGATTTAGTAGGGGGGCTGACAGAACTGCTGCATCATGGGCCTTGTAGTTTTGTGAGTACATAACTCCTGGAATGTCCACATAAAAAAGAAAGACAGAAAACAATCTTTTATAAAGCGCCTTTAAAAATAAAAATCACAACGCTTCACAAAAACTAAAAAATTAAAATGATTAAAAATGTTTTAAATCATAAATAAATAAAAATTATGATTAAAGAATGTAAGGAAAAGGAGAGAGAAGATGAATAGGAAAGAAGGAAATCAGTGGATTCCACCAAAGGCAGAATAAGAGCAGAGGGAGGTGACGAAGGTCACGCATTAGCCAGCCTGAACAGGTGAGTCTTCAGCTGCTTTTTAAAGGAGACCACTGAGTCCACTGGTCTCAGGCTCAGGGGGAGAGAGGTCCAGAGTCTGGGGGCCACAGCAGCAGATGATCTGTCACCTTTGACCTTTAGTCTGGTGTGCTGCACAATAGGGTTGGGCAAGTTGTATACTTTTCCCACCGCCAATCGTCAGTCCAAAGAAGGACGATGGGCAATTTATTCGTGCATGTGACGTCATGATGCACAGACACAGAAGAAGCCCAAAACACAGATTTTTATAGAAGTTTAGCGCATGTTGCTGGAAGAGAAATTTAGATATTTCTTTTTGTTTAATTTTGTGTTTGTAGTTTGGTGGAGCGACGTAAGAACGACCCGTATTAAACACGGTTTAAGTGTTAAAAGGAAGCTTCCTCTTCGTTTCCCTGTGGTGCCCATCATTGTGGTCGTCTATTTTATTTAAGCAAAATGTTTTTCTTCTATTGTGTTTTATGAGTTTGAGAAGGAAAAGGAATGAATCGCTGCTGCGTCTGGACGCACTCTGAGGAGGCAGCATTAGCTCGCAGCCAGAGTCCACGTGATCCATTTATCCCGTCACTTTAATTATTAAAATAATTGTGACGGGACAATGGCGGAGGTGCGGTTTCGAAGGTTTGTGCCACGTTTTTCTACCACTGCTTCTCCACTGAGTAATCTGGCAACTAAACACCAAAAGAATCCCATTGTCTGGACGGCGGAATGCGAGACTTCTTTCAGAACTCTAAAAGCACATCTGTGTTCATCTCCTGTCCTGCAAGTCCCGATTTAGGAAAGAGAGGTTTTGTTCAGGTGGATGCTTCGACAGTTGGCCGTGGTGCTGTCCTGGCGCAAGGAGACCCAGGGGAAGAGCAACCCATCCTTTTATCTGAGCCGGAAGCTGTTACCTCGTGAGGTGAAATACTCTGTGGTGGAAAAGGAAGGCCTGGCCATTAAGTGGGCTCTCGAAAGTCTCAGGCAGAGAGTTCGACCTGGAAACAGACCATCGTGCCCTTGTTGTACATCCTTCCTTTAGGAAACCTAATCCAGGAGTTTGCCGATGATGTTTCCTATCATCTCTTTGCTGATGATCTTCAGCTGTATTGTTCTTTCAAGCCTTCTGACGTTAAAAAATTGCATTCTTTATTATCATGTTTTGAGCGAATCAAACAGTGGCTCGGTGCAAATGCCTTACGGCTGAACTCAGACAAAACTGAAGTACTGGTGATTGCCCCCGATGATGCTGCTCCAGGGATTCACCAGCAGTTAGGTGATCTGAGCTTGTCTGTAAAACCTACCCTTAGAAACCTTGGAGTTTTCTTTGACAAGGGAATGTCTCTTGAACATCACGCAAAGCAGTTAACTAGAAACTGTTTTTACCACTTGAGACAAATTTCTAAACTCAGAACAATGGTGTCTAAAGCTGATCTTGAGTTGATTATTCACGCGTTTACATCATCCCGTTTAGACTACTGTAATAGTTTATTTTCTTGTCTAAACAAAAAAGAGCTGTCCCGCTTACAACAAGTCCAGAATTGTGCAGCTAGAATTCTGACCCGTGACAACAGAAGGGCCCACATTACCCCCATTTTAAAAGCTCTTCATTGGCTTCCTATCACATTTCGCATAAATTTTAAAATTCTTGTGCTGACTTTCAGAGCGCTGCATGGTCTGGCTCCATTGTATGTTCGAGACATGCTCTGCCCTTACACGCCTTCTCGCAGGCTGAGATCTATGGATCAAAACCTTTTAATGGTCCCACGTACTCAGTTCAGGACACGAGGAGATCGCTCATTTCAGGCCGTCGCTCCTAGGCTCTGGAATGAGCTACCTCTGTCTTTATGCTCAATCGATTCAGTTGATGTTTTTAAGAGCAATCTTAAAACCCAGTTGTTTCTCCAGGCATTTTAAACTTAGTCTCATTCAGATTGGTTTTATTTGACACTGTATATTGTGGCTGTATTTTACTGTATTTATATGTTGTTGCCTTTTAACTTGTGAAGCACTTTGTGACCTTTTTGTCTGTGAGAGGTGCTATACAAATAAAGTTACTTACTTACTTACTTACTTACTAATTTGGATCCAGACAATGAAAGACAATAATCATAGGCTGACCAGGTGGTACTTGTCCTTGCAACCTTACAAATCCCTTATTCGTTATAGGAGCGGTAGCAGCAATAAAGTGGCAGATTTTCTCTCTAGGTTGCCGAACTTCCCCAACCTTTGGGAGAAGGGGATAGTGTGACGGAGGAGCCGTCACGAGTTACGCCTGTCCTATAAGTTGAACCAGTAGGTAGGCTACACCCGGAATAAACATCAGCTGTTATTGTTTTGGCACGACACAAAGCAATTTGTCGTGGGTGCACACGTGATGTTTTCTTGTCATTGCTAAAATTACATTTCAGTGGGTTACATCTGTGTATGTGTTACTGAGCTGTTAACCCATTAACATGTAACGGGGAAAGGTAGATCATGGGTTGAAATGTACCATTGCTAGGTGCTAACATTAGGTTGCTGTTTGTGATTTAAAATTGCCGAGGAAAGGGTGTTAACTTTGGGGTTGGGCGGGGCCTGGCCCTTTAAAGAGGACGCCCTGCCCTGTTGGCGGGGGTGGTCGTCAGAGTCAACTCAGGTTCCAGTGAGGGGGACTGCTTCTGAACTGCTAAAAGGTTTGTTTTTACTGAGATTCACCTGAAGATGAGCACAATAAAAGAGCACATCACGCTGAACTTCGGCACTGGCGTCTCTTTGGTTGCTAAGCCACACACAACCCCGCCACGATAATAAATAACCATTCAATACAGCTAAATTTCTATTCATTTTAATTAATATTTCATCCAAACAAGCCGATTAGAGGGCCACTGTTACATAAACAATGTAATTAAACGATTTCTGCTCCGCGTAAACCTGACCTGGTCAGGTGTGTATTCATGTCTCTAGGGAGCTTAATGAAGAGGTTATGAGGTTCTGGATGTTTTCCTCAGACAGACTCGTGGCTGTTTAAACGTCGTCCTGGATGAATCTGTGCTCCGCTGACGCACTCGAAGCGGGGGCTGGAGAACGACGAGCGCTACGTCAGTGGAAGTTTTAAACAGGAAACCTTTCTCTAAATGAAATAACCAGAAGCCTTCCAGACTCTCAGAGATAGAAAGGTTTCCACGTTCCACTCAACACCGCGCTGATGCGAACAATGTCGAGACAGACGCTCTCCGAGCTCCTCCTCAGCACGCCGCTTGTGCGCCCACTGTCAGCAGCGAGAGGCGGAGAAGGTGAGAAAAGGCTCAGATGCGCTGATGGAGATCTTTTCTTGATTGTTACCTCTGATGTTCTCTGTGCGTAAGATGTAAAATCTGTCATCAAACTAACTCACAGGCAAACAAATAAACAGATCTCCTGTAAAAACACGACCGTATGGGCTCAGCCCATCGCCCAACCCTTCTGCACAACCAGCAGGCTTTGATCACTGGACCTCAGGGACCTGCTGGGGGTGTAGGGACTAAGAAGATCACCAATGTAAGATGGTGCTTGTCCATGTAAGGCCCTATAGACCAGAACCAGGATCTTGAAATGAACCCTGAAGTTGACTGGCAGCCAGTGAAGCTGGAGGAGAAGCGGGGTGAGGTGGGTGTGTTTGGAGGACTTGGTCAGAAGCCGAGCACAGGCGTTCTGAACCACCTGTAGACGGTTCAGGGAGGTTCTGCTCAGACACGTGAAGAGAGTTACAGTAGTCTAAGCGTGAGGAGATGAAGGTGTGGAGAACTGTCTCAAGTTCAGAGCGGGACAGAATGGGACTCAGCTTAGCACAGACCCCATACTTCTAGTGTGTAGTACAAAAACATAAGGGAAGAAGCAATTCACAAAAGTTAAGATGAACCTAAACTTACTTGAAGACGTTTAAAGGCCTAAAACTATAAAAAAACACAAATATATCGTAACTTTAAATCTCTGCAATAAAAACTGTCAAGGTTCTCCTCCTCTGACAGTGAGCGGAGCACCTCTCACACCAGTGGGGTTCTGCTGCAGAAGCGCGTGATGAGTGGAGGACCCAGGGAAGTGCGGAGGTGCAGTGATTCAGTGAGACCGGGCGGTGGTATTGGTGGAGGTTTTTAGACAAACGTGAGAACCACTTCATTCTTTTTTTTTTTTTTAATCACCACAAAATATTAATAGCTACGCTAAGTTAGAACGCTGTTAAGAGACATGAAAAACTGTCTGAAGCTAGCTTGCTTTGCTGATGTGCAAACGCAGCTTTAAGTCTGGACTACACTGATGCACGTGCTCAGGTGTGTGTCTACGAACTTACCGGTAGGGTTTGTCCGAGTTATGAATCCGTCGGTGGTTCCTCACCCCCACATACGTGGAGCTGGTGTAGCTACAAACATCACACATGTACAGCTTCTGCCTGCTGCCTTCTGTAAAACAGGACAGATATTTACAGCTGTGTTTGAGGTGCGTGTCAGCTGATCACAGCCTTCTCTTCTTACCTTCCTCGGCTCCTTGTTCCAACTGCTCCGTGATGGGCTCTGTGCCTGCTGTGAGCGATGTCTTGTCACTGCTGAAGCTGTGCTGCTCTCTTTCATGACTCCTTAGCTGACTCTGAAACAAACGCCCATGAACACCAGCAGATTCAGTACAAATGATTACGTGTGTGCAAACAGCTGCGGGATAGAGGGATCCTCAGTTACCAGCTGTTGGTTTAACTCCCAGATTCATCAGATAAAATGACAAGTTCAAGCCACTCTGCTTCATAAAGGCGCTAAACGTCTGTGCTGGCAGTGAAGCCAGCAGTTGTCTGATTGTATGATCACAGCCAGGTTTCAGACACGCACGTGCGTTCAACACAGCTGGTTAGGGTCCGTGAGATCCCAAAACCTCAGGAGAAAAGCAGGACCACTAGGGCTGCCATGATTACTCGACTCGTCACAACAACGTCGACGAGCAAAATAGAAAAAAACAGTAGAGGCGTCGTTTATTTTATGAACAGTATTTTAATCTCGCCTGCTGCGGCGGTTGCTTCCTCAGCGTTTCCCCTACACAGGCTCAGGCGTGGCGCCACGTCTACAAGAGCCGATGTTATTACCTTTAGAACACGTTTGTACGTCACGTATTTTTGCTCTAATTACAAACACTAATGATTTATTTCATCCCTCTACGTCACAGTGTTAATAAAAGTGCTCCTCGTCAAAGGACGAGTTGGTTACGTGCACACCTCAGCAAGCTAACGTCCTGACCCAGGCCAACGTGAACATGTTGGTCACAAGACTCCTGCCCATGGTCGGTGATCAAGCTTTCAAAGAGACGATTAAGCAGCTCAACCCAGATTACGACTACTACCAACCAGATTAATCCCATTTCACCACCATGATGGAAAAGAAATATGAAACAACCTTTAAGAGGTGTGTGTGTGTATGTGTGTGTGTGCGTGTGCGTGTGTGTGTGTGTGTGTGTGTGTGTGTGTGTGTGTGTGTGTGTGTGTGTGTGTGTGTCCCGGAGGACAGAGGACAGGAGAACTTGCAGCTAATTAATTAAATAATGTGGTTCTGTACCTTTCTCTTCAGCACAGCCGACAAAGGTTTATGATGGGTCAGTCCTCCTGCATGCTCAGATCATTCCCTTCCCTTGCTTGAAAAATTGTTCCAAAATGAAAGTTGAACCCACATCTTTTTTATCTGTGAATTCAATGCCGTTCGGCGAGTCTCAAATAAAAATTTGGGCATCTTACTGTAAAAAAAATATACCATTAATGTAAAAAATAAACTCTAAATAATTTATATTCACATCCAGAATCAAACCCAGGTCTCCTGCCCGAGAGTCCGAAGTCTAACTAGATGAGCTAAACCACCACTGACGGTTATGGTATCTGTAACGTTTATATCCTTGATGACAGCTAAAACAACGTTCAAAGAACGGTTCGGAGCGAAAATGGCTATTTTGTTGCTAATTTGCAGGAAATATCTAGAAGAAAGTTGTACAGAAAGTAGCTAAGGGTCCTCAGAAATGTAGCTAGCTTTGTCACTAGGCGTTAGGAACAGCGACAAAGTGGCACTGCCTCTCTCTCTGCTGCTAAAGCTACGGATAGCAAATGCTACGGGCGATGCCTGAGCGTGAACGCGCATGAAGCAGCCTGCTCGACCCGAGCATCTCTCTTTTTCTGTGATTTTACAGAAAAACAGGCAATCACAGTAAAAATGCCAGGGCTCATTCTACAGGACCAGGGCATTGCAGGAGAACGTATGAAGAAGACATTTATTATTTCTATACATGTTTTGGCTGTCAAACTTCCATAATGCCCCTTTAAATAAAAGTAGTACAATAAGCTATCGTCTGGTCTTTATTATTAGATGGCCCATAGCTGATCACGCTTCAGACTAGAAGCTAAGCATGCGTGTACTAGAGCATCCTGTGCAATAAGCTAAACTTTTATGAATAACACTATTAGCAGACTAATCGTCACCAAAACTGGCGATGAGTCGACTACTAAAACAGTCGTTTGTGGCAGCTCTACTCATACTGGAATTCAGCTAAAATATTTCGAGGTACAAGTTCTGGTCCATTTCGCCCCGTATTACCCTGCCAGTGTGACGTCAGCCTCTTTTGAGCCCTCTAATAATATAAAAATAAAAATGCTTCCCATTAAACTTAAGAACAATATCAGGATTTTAGCATCAACTGTCTGAAGGGGAAACAAATCATTTTTATACATTTATAATAAATATAGTTTTCATTTTAAATAATGCTAATAATTCCCACCAAAATGAGCCATGAAGTAGTGACACTAGGAGGTATAAACAGCCAACTCACCTTGTAGTGGAAGGTCTCTGAACACTGTTTGCACTGGTACATCCGGGTCTTGCAGTGGTAGATCATGTGCTCCTCCAGGTCTTTGCTGTCTGAAGCCTTGTGCTCACAGATGGGACATTGGTAGGGCACCCTCTGCTTGTGCACTCGGAGGTGTTGTTTAATGTAACCCTTGTTGCTGCTGCTGTAGTCACACAGACGACATCGATAGGGCCTCTCACTGCCTGAGATGTAATCCACCAAACTCCCATCAGGTGAACCAACCATCCCATCCATCCCTGGAATGCCACACACGTAGCTCTCCGCCCCATTCTCTGGGACAGCTCCGGCTACAGATCCATTATGGAACTGTGCGTTGTCCAGAAGCTCCTTTAGGATGTCCTCATCAGAGGCGTTTTGGTCTGAGCGCTCTTTTAGTCTTTCTATGACGGTGAGCAGTGAAAGACTGATGCCTGCTTTAGTCGTGGGACTTTCCTCATCTCCTTCTCCAATGCCCAATGTCCCCAAGTCTCCTCTTCCCTCGTTGCAAAGCTGCAAGTCCAACAATGCTGCTGTCGTCTCGATGTCCGAAGTCTTCTGTCCACTTGTCACCTCAAGCAGCCTCTGGCTGACATGTTCGCTCTGAGCCTGAGACGAAACGGTCTTGAGACTGAACTTGGCGCTGGAGGCAGGTAACTCAGGCATCCTTGTAGGCATGGCCACAAGGGCCTCGGCGGCCAGGGAGTGCAGGCGAAGAGATTCAGAGTGTGTCCGCTTGCGACCAGCTGGGGGGACGTTTTCATCTTTCGGAGAGTCATTCCCTTTCACGACAGATAACTTAGCATCTCCCTCTGATGGCTGAGTGGTAGTAGGTTTATGTGGACTGAAGCTATGGTCCACCTCTCCCTTCACAACTGCCACATGGTTTAAGTCCTCTTCCTCATTCAGTAACCTCTTGTCCTCTTCCGGGCCCAGAAGAAGCGGCTTGGTCACCATGACGGAGTCTTCAGCTGAAGGAAGGCGCTCTACGATCACGTTGATATGACCGGCACTGTTTGGACTGCTGTTGATTATCTTCTGAGCAGAGGACAACAAGCTGTCAGTAACAGAGGGACAATCATGAGGACCTTTGGTCGCCATGGCCGTCTCCGTCGTGACCTGCACCTCCACCATAGGCTCCTCAGGGCTCAAATCTTTGACTGAATATCCACTCTCCTCATCTTCGTCAGCAGATTTGGGGCTTTTGTTGAGATTCGACACGTCTTGTTTGTTCTCTACAGTCACAGGCATGCAGAGCTGGAGACTGAACCCAGCTGGGAGCTTTGGCATGCTTTTATCTTGAAGAACTGGAGAAATAACCACTAAATCTTCTCGGAGAGCACCGCTGTCGGCCACGGGCTGCATCTCTCCCCTTGTTGAACCCCCCTCCTCTTCAAAGATGGGGTAGGTGCAGTCCACAAGGCCGGCATGCTTCCATGCGTGGGTCTTGAGCATTCGCTGTTGGCTGCAGACGTAACTGCAGATCAAGCAGCGGTACAAACCATACTCCTCGTAGCTATACCATTTCTTCTTTTGTGGCAGCTCCTTCGAATCTTCCACAGAACTTTCTACTCCTCTCTGATCCCCTCCCTCACCCTCCTTTTTTAAAACCTTTCCCTCCCCCTCGATGAGTGGATTTAAATGAACAGAACTCCTTTTTGGGTCGCCTCTGTCGTGGAAGTGCAGTCTGACGTGTGCCTCCAGCTGCGCCTGGTCTCTGGAGGTAAAGTGACACTCGGAGCACATGAGGATGAGGTCACTGTGCTGCTCGTTGTGTTGTTTCAGGTGTTCTTTGAGATGCGGCAGCGTCTGAGACAGATAGGGGCACAGACTGCACTGATAGCATGTGACCGTCCACTTGTGGTCAGCGTTTACCGTGGAGGCGATGTTATTGTTGTTATCACCTCCTGATACGGGAACAGGAAGGGGGCAGTCAGCCCTGCGGCCATCTGTCTTCACCTCCTCATTACAGCTCTTTCTCATTTTCTTGTAAGCAGAGCCTCCCCAGCTTAAGCCCTCCTCACTTCCTTTTACGCTGACAGAAGAGACTTTTTTCTGTCCACCAAGGAGGAAGTGTCGCTGTGGCTGCTTCTCAACTATCTTACTGAGCTTCTCAATGACCTGGATGAGGGAGTCATCCGCTTGCCTCTGATGGTTACCCGATGGGCAGTCCTGACCGGTATCTTGTTGAGAGTGGGCTTGACTGAGAGAGGACGTGGATGCAGTGGAGGACTTTGTGATGAGAACAGCAACACTGCTGTTGTCATCCATATCCTGGAAGACAGAGAGGAACAAAGTGGATGAGAACTACGTCTGGTGATCCAGATCAGTGACTCCCAAAGCAGGAGTTGGGACCCCCGCTGTGTGTGCTGAAACAAGTGGGGTCCTGAGAGAATGTTGGGAAATATGAGGGAGATTTAAAAAAATCACTGCTAACAGCACAGTTTTTAGCAGCGTTGAATGATGTCTCCACCATGGTTATAATCGAAAAAAGACCCTGAAAACTATAGAAACAACTAGAGGCCGGCCGATATATTCAGTTTTTTCTATACTGGCCTAAATTATTTTTAAAGGCTGATTAAAAAAATAAAAGTAAAAATCAGGCACCAACTGCCGCCACTACTAGACTGAAGAAAGGACCCGAAGGACACACACTTTTTTTTTACTGTTTTGAGTTAGTTTTAGATTTGAAGTTCAATAAATATTAAGAGACGTATTGACTTATTTAATTTATATTGCACACAGTGAGTGTTCCGTTGTCTTTCACCAGTGTGATGCTAAAACGTATTTATATCAGCCTTAGATATCAACCTTTGGCAACAAAATTCTTTAAAAATCGGTATCAGCCTTACACATACCGGTCGGCCTCTAGAAACAACTGCTTTAAATTCAGAAATACCTCACAAATACCAGAACACAATACTTTCATATATGGTTTTTAACATACTAGTTAGAATAAGGCGACTAAATTAACACTCTGCCAACAATTTTAAGATTACTTAGGTCATTCAAAGGCATGTTAGAGGCCTGTGAGAGGAGAGTGTGTTGTTCAGTTCAGCATCAAGCATAGTAAGGGTTATAGGTCATGAGCTGGTCTCAGTCCTGGTAACCAGCTCAACAGTATGAGGGCTTAATGGGTGGAGCTCATCCTAATGCTTAAACCAAAGGATGGAGGGACAGACACGTATAACCTACTGATAACCTACAAGAACATACTGTACTAGTTAACTATTAACTAGCATCACTATGTGATGAATCGGGTAACAGCAGACTTCACCACAACAGTTTCACTCCCAAAGCCACGCTCAGTGGCTAGTTTCTCCTTGTTGGGTGTTTCTCTGTAAAACCTAGACATGGTTTCAGGGAAAATCCAGTCAGACTAGTATTTTCTGAAACACTCAGACTAATAATTTCATGTTCAGTCGCTTAAACCATATTTTTTCAGCAGGTTGCTTTCTCTACATTTAAATGCAACAAGTTGCAGCCATGAGATTGGTTGATTAGTGATTTGTGGTAAACAAGTGGATCAAATTCAAAATGTGATCAAAGTAGACAAGAAATACTGATACTATTAGCCAAACAAGGTTTAGTGAATGAAGTTTTTTCTGAATGAAAGAAAAAGAAGCCAACCATCCAATAAGTGACAGTTTAATCTGTTCACGATAAGCTCTGCTCACGCGCACCATGTGCATCTGTTTACAAACGAAACTGGTGGGAAACGGTCAACACACGTGTGGTTAATATTCCTTTCATCTTCACATATCCAACACTTTCCCTGTTCTCTTTTTCTGACCGCATTTCTCCTTCCTCTTTGTCCCACTTCTGCTTATCCAGTCCAGCAGGCGGGACGCGCTACCGGTTAGAGGAAGGGCACCAGCGTGGGAGTTCAACGTGGTCCAGCGGCGCTTTGATGTGAGGCAGCTAAACTAGCAGCCCTCACCGGACCCGGTTCTACTGCTTACACCACCGTGAGCTCTGACCCAGCTCACAACACCACCTGTTATGTCAACATCTAAAAATATTCAGCCTCGGGCGCGCGCCTGTGTGTGAAATAAAGTTACAGTCAGCCTCTCAACTACTCTCCACCAACGGCTACTTTTGAAAGGCTAATGTTAGCTAACAAAAACAAACAGTTCTTGTTTTTATTTAATACAAAACAACTAAAAGTCCCGAGAAACAGGACACACCGTTAGCGCCACAGCACGCTCTCTGCTTTTTTTCCCCCAGCACACACACAATGCTGAGTTGCACACAAGGACATTAGGCTCATCTTTACAACTAGCGCGTGACGGATGAGCGCATGCAGCACGTAAAGATAAACATACTCACTATAACGGAAACTATTGCCGCTCTTTGTCCTCAACATATAAAGGCATTTGTTTTATTTGTCAGCCATAAAAAGTGGCCTATCTCACACATTGCAAAATGGCGAGGATGGAGTATCCGTCACGTGACTCTGAGTTTGGGTCAGGTGACCAACTATGGCATGCTACGTTCATGTGCTGCTCGTTAAACAAGCCACCTTTAGATCGTGATAGCAGCAAAGATGATCAGACAACAGGGTGAAATAAACGAGGGTGCAACGTTCAAGCTGAGAGACAAAATAATTAACTAGAGGAAAACTGCGGTAACATTATTTTATCTGTTAAAATATGTAACAGAAATTAAAACCTAAGGCTCTGGTCGGATTCTGGAGGAGAGTTTTAAATGGAGTCCACAATGATGATGAAATAAGTTTTAAAAACTTGCAGATTTTTTATACTTTCATTTATGAATCAATTTATGGAACTAAAAACAATGTTGTTGCAGAGGGGAAATTAACAAGAAAAATGAATTAGATTGTATACATTTAAGTCAAATAAACCAAATGACTTCTACTGTAAGTCTGACTCAGCTGTGTATAGGTCAGACAAAAAGGTCCCACTGACAGTTTCATTTGCCCTTCGAGACAGAAACTCACGGTACAACAGTAACCAAACAGTGCGTCAGAGCAGTAATGACTGAAACTATAAACAAACAGAACACAGCACCAGTGCAATTTAGAAAGTAATAATAAAATGGTTAAAAAGGCTTTCATGTTGCAAATGACAAGTGTTGACTAAACAAACATGAAGAGCGAGAGATGTTACTGTATTTGTGTGGACTTTCTTCTGTAGCCATGAGAATGTTCCAGGACTCTTCTAGTCATCCTAACAGGTTTTTTTCTCAACACTGAAAAATGTCGTCCGATGGAGGTTTTGAGGTCCTTCCCAGTAAATTGAAATAAACATGGTCCGCAAAATGAAAGATGCCCTTGAAAGTTTAATAACTGCTATGTTTGGAGGTAGCATTGAAACCATCTAGAAAAAAATGAAGAATAGCAAGAGCAAGAAACATGTGCAAATGTCTGTTCAGCACTGACTCTTTGCTCTCAGGAAGGACCACAGCCCAAGGAAGGAAGACCACTCCTGTGGACCCTCACCTGCAGGACCAGCCACAAGGGACTAGTGGTTTAGGTGCTGGTTGAAGAGACCATGGCATTTTGATCCTCAGCTACTGAAACAAAACACATTTTTTTAAAGATGTTAATTGTTCGTAACATTTTAGGGGCAACAGAAGGTATGATGTTTTTCCAATAGTCAGAGGGTTGCTGGTTGAATTTCAGCTCAATTCTGCTGATGTGACATTTCACGTAACTTAGCTCTGGTCAGAGGGAGCGATGAGCTAATGGCAGCCTGGCCCAGTGGCGAACAACCCCAGGGTAGCTGTGGCTATAGTTCACCATCTCCAGCCAAGTGTGGACGAATGATGGATTCTCAAAGCGCTTTGGGTGCCTTGAAAAGTGCTGCAAAAAGCAAATCCATCATGTTTCCACACAGAAGGTCTGAACTGTTGCTTTTTTCCACTTACCCGATCCATTCATAAGCCAGAGCTCCAGCCTCACACTCCAGGATGTTAGAAAATAAAATCCTGTCAAAATTTTACACACTCGGTTTACAGAAACACACACACACACACACACACACACACACACACACAATGCAACCCAGGGCCAGATGGTGTAAACCAAGTCTGAGCTGAAACTGACATCTTTCATAGTTTGCCCTCGCCACTCTGGTGTGATTTCTACCCCTATTACCCTTGTTGCCTCTCCATCACAGGCACACTCAGGCTGCTCTCTAATCTGAAGTGACAGCCCATAGACTCTCATGCACACATTACAGTGTTGCCTCGGGCAACTCAGGCTGCTCCTTTCAAAATGTTGAAATCAGGTTATTTCTATTGAGGTATTAAAGTAATACTTCAGTTTAAGCTATTATTCCAGGCTCCATTTTTCCCCAGCCTCTGAGAGATTGATTGAAAGCAAGAAGGGAGAGATAAGGACACCAGGTTGAGTTTTAAAATGGAGAAATGTGCAAAAAATGCAATACTATATGTGGTTTTATGTCTTCTCAATGACCTGGATGAGGGAGTCATCCGCTTGCCTCTGATGGTTACATGTTATTTAATAAGCAATAAGATATAAGATTCCATACTTAATATGAAATCCACTTTATGGATCTGTGGGCACTGTTTAACCAGAAGATTGCTCAGGAGAGGAGAGAGAGCACAGCACAGGGCACCTCAGTGTAGACACAACAAATTGGCGTCTAAAGCAAATCAACAAACAAAAAGAAACCTAGCATTGTGAGTACCTGCATGTACTATGAGTAGGAATTATGTGAATTAGCATTTAAGCGGAGAAATGGATGCAATACACTAGTGTAATGCAAAAAGTGGTGCAAAAAAAATAAAATTAATAAAACCCGTGGCTAGATGGGAGAAATCACTGCACTAAGTAAAAATGTCTTCAAAATGAAGAGCAAAACTAGTTGTAGCCCATTAAGGTAAATTACCAAAGTTAATCATAAAGTTTTTAAAACTTAATCACTGTAGTAAAGTTCTATAAAAAGATAGATATCTGAGTGTCAAAGAGCACTAAAATGTAAATCAGTGAAGTTAGTAATCAACCTACATGTGAAAGTACCCATAAGGAATTAAGATTAGTGAACACAATAAAAAAAATTGGATAACAGTAATATGAGGACTGAACCCATCGACTGTTAACTACCTGATTACCTGACCTCAGGAACCCACAGCATGTTCATCTCAAATCACCCAAGTCTGCATGTCATGTATAAACAGGAAATACAACCATGCACACACACAAACATAGACAAACTTGTGTAACTCGTGATAGAGAGCTATGGAACCGATGAGGCACAAAATCACCCCCCTTTCGAAGCCGGTAAGGTGGTGGTGGTAGCATTGACCAAATTAGTGGAACCCTTGTGCAGTTTGATTTGGTCCCTGTGGACCCATTTGTAGATGGGCTCCTTGTTTGTTTGGGTGATCTTGATCTGATACACGACTGGAGAGAGCTTATCAGTCATCAGGTATGGGCCTGACCACTTGGGCAAAAGTTTCTTAGCCAGCTTCCCAGAGGTGTTCTTGTTGTTACCAGTTTTAGGAGCGAAAATGTAGAACCAGGCCTCATCACCTATGTTGAGTTCAGAATGTTTATGTTTATGTATTTAGCAGACGCTTTTGTCCAAAGCGACTTACGCCGGGGACACACCGACCACGGAAGCGCCGCGAAGCGAATCGCTCACGAAATTCGGCTGCTGCTTGCCGCTCCTCAGTTCAGATCAGACGCGCCCCAGTCGAGGCGCGCCTCGGCTCAGCTGTAGTTTTTCTTTTAAACACTTGGTGTCCTCCATTTCCTCTCTGCCTTTTCTCAGCTCTTTTCCTCTACGTTTGAGTGTGTGTGTGTGTGTGTGTGTGTGTGTGTGTGTGTGTGAACCTATGGTATGAGTTGTTTCTGCCAGGTGAATCTCTTGGAACCCGCTCCAATTCTGCAGCTGTATCCTAGCAGTTTCTTACATGAATAACCATGTTTTTCGGGGGTCGTACAGCTCCTTGTGTTTCTCAACTTCCATAATTAATTTAAAGTCATCCATCTTAACTGCTTGCCTCAGACTTTCTGCCTCTCTGTCCTGTTTGCTCCGGTGAAAAGACACCCCAAACCACACACCCCTTCACGTGGTCACACACGCACACAAGTTCGATGTGTGTGTATGTGTATGTGTGTTCGTGTGGTTTTTCTGCAGTGTCTGATTACGAACACATTTGACTATTGCGGAATTTTATTTTGAAATGCTTTATTTTGTTAACTTTACCGGCCTGCCTCTTATGTCTAGGTTTGACTTCCTGCCAGAATTGACGCGATTCACCCGCAGCTCGCAAAAAAAATAGAGCCGGCGCAGAAATGATCGCTGCACGGCGCGGGCTGGAGCGCCGGCGCAAGGCGATTCGTTAGTTTAGAAGATGCTCTCTGAAGAGCAGGGTCTTCAGGAGTTTCTTGAAAATTGAAAAGGAAGCCCCTGTTCTGGTAGTGCTTGGAAGGTCATTCCACATTTATGGAACGATGCATGAGAAGAGTCTGGATTGTCCTGAGCGTGGTGTAGGCACTGCTAGCCGACGATCCTGTGATGACCGGAGCGGCCGGGCCGAGACGTAATCCTTTGCAAGAGGATTCAGGTAGATGGGAGCCGTACCGTCTCGGACTTTGTATGCTAGTGTTAGCAATTTGAATTTGATGCGTGCTGCTAGCGGTAGCCAGTAGAGCTCAATGAACAGAGGGGTGACGTGTGCTCTTTTTGGCTGATTGATGACCAGACGTGCCGCTGCGTTCCGGACCATTTGAAGAGGTCTCACAGTACAGCCTGGAAGACCCGTTAGAAGGGCATTGCAGTAACTGAGGCGCGAGATGACAGTAGATTGCACCAGGAGCTGGGTGGCATGTTGTGTTAGGTATGGTATGGTCTGATCTTTTGTATGTTATACAGCGCAAAGCAGCATGAACGAGCAACAGAGGCAACATGATCTTTAAAGCTCAGGTGTTCATCAATCACAACACCCAGATTTCGAACTGCCTTTGAAGGAGCCAGAGATAGGAAGTCATTTTGGATTGAGATATTGTGCTGTATGGATGGTTTTGCTGGGATGACAAGTAGTTCAGTTTTAGAGAGGTTGAGTTGGAGATGGTGGGATTTCATCCATTTTGATATGTGAGAGAGACAGTTTGATATTCGTGCAGTCACAGTTTGGTCGTCCGGTGGAAATGACAGATAGAGCTGGGTGTCGTCTGCATAGCAGTGGTAGGAGAAACCATGTGATCGAATGATCTCACCCAGTGAGGTGGTGTATATGGCAAAGAGAAGAGGTCCTAGTACAAAGCCGTGGGGGACTTCTGTGGCAAGATGGTACATGGTAGAGGATTGGCAGAGCCAAAATAAACTGAATGATCATCCTGTGAGGTACAATTCAAACCAGGCGTGTGCTTTCTCTGTGATGCCCATGTTAGAGCGTGTGGACAAAAGGAAGCCATGGTTGACGGTGTCAAATGCAGCCGATAAGTCGAGCAGGATAAGCACTGAGGATTTGCCAGTC